AAATTCAGAGTCATTAATGATAGTGATACCAAACAACCACAGACTGTCCACATAGGTGTCTGAGAGAGTGACACCTTTGCTTTCTCATGGTTTAATGTATACAAAATTTGTTTCATGCACAAAATTATTTTAAAATGTTATATAAAATTACCTGCAGACTATGTGTATAAGGTATATATAAAACATTAATGAATTCCATGTTTAGACTTGGGTCTCATTCCCAATATATCTCATTATGTATATGTAAATATTCCAAAATCCAAAAAACTCTGAAATCTAAAACACTTTTGGTTGGTGCTGATCATTTTGGATAAAGAATACACAACCTGTAAAAGTTTACATTCCCACCAACATTGTAGGGGACTTCTTGTTGCTCTACATCTTTACCAATCCTTAATATTGTCAGACTTAAATTTTTACCACTTTTATATATACAATGTGTTATCTATTGTGGATTCAATTTTCATTTCCCCAATAATAATGGTGAACACTAATAGTGAAGTCAAACATATTCTCATATGTTTATCGGAAACTTAGAAAATATCCCTATTTTTGAAATGCCTGTTCATGTCTTTTGCTCATTTTTCTGTAGGGTTTTCTGCCTTTTTTTACTCATTGATTTATAGTAAAAAGCAGTCCTTTCTTCATTCTGTATGTTACATCTATTTTTTTCCACTTTGGCTTATCTTTACATGTCTTATATGGTGACTTTTGGTAAACAAAAGTTTTTAACAATAATCTAGTGAAATTCAATGGTCATTTTCTTTAAGGCTTAATGCTTTACATTTTTTTTTTAAATTTACTTACTCAGGCTTTTAAAGATATTCTCCTATATTCTCTTCTAAATTTATATTTTTGTCTACTATGTTAAAGTGTTTGATATATCTAGTACTGATGTGGAAATTTGGTGGAGAGTAGAGGGCTAATTTCATTCATCATGGATACATGATCATCCCAGCATTATTTATTAGCAAGACTGAACTTCCCCACTGCTCTGCAGTGCTACTTTTGTCTTAAATGAAACAGTAATATATGTTTGCCCCCTCTGGGATCTCTATTCTGTCATATTGATATTTTTATTTCTGGTCCAATACCACATGCATTGATTATTAAAGCTTTATAATACATCTTGATGGCTAAGAGAACATGCCTTCCCCTTTGTTCATATATTTCAAGAGTACCTTGACTATTCTTAGCCATTTGAGTTTTTACAAAAAATTTAAATAAGTTTGTAAAGTGTCATTAAAATATTCTATTATAATTTTAATTGGGATTAAATTAAAATCTATAAATCAATTTAAGAACTGACACCTTTTTGATACTGAGTATTCTAATCAATGGACATTGTAGTTCCCTACATTTATTTATACATACCATTTATTTAAGTGTTTCAGGTATTTTTAATACCTCATAATAAAATTCTACACCTTTGTCCTGTGTATGTCTATGCATCTTTGTTTAAATTCACTTCTAAGATTTGATATATTTTAAATATACTGTAAATAGTAGCTTTTATTTATTTTCTCTTTGATGCTAGTATATTGAAGTCAATTGATTTTAAATCATAAATTGCAGGAAACTTGTTAATCTCTCTTATAAATTCAAACATAGACTATTAAACCTTTTTATATTTTACATACATAATTATTTCATGTGTGAATAATAAAACTTTTATTTTTTTCTTTCCAAACATTATGTGTTTTATTTTTCTCTTGCTTTACTACATTGGCTAGGACTACTAATATAATACTCAGTAACAGTGGGGATACTACTTGCTAATTATATAGCTAAGCATTTTTTTCATAAATATATTTGAATTTAGTCATATGCTTTACTATATCTTATGAGATTATCAAATGAAAGTTCCTTTAATCTGGGCATGATGCATTTTATATATATACACTTATGCACATATATATACAGACATACATATACATACATATATAAATACATACATACAGATATATTGTATAAGTTTTTATATAGCATGTACATTCATGAACAAAAGTGGTAAATCACTTTATATCCTCCTTCTGACCATTTCCAATATGGGTATCAAGGTTATGCCTGATTTATAACATTAGTGTGATCTTATCTCTCCATTTTCTAGTTTGGAATTATTTCCCCTCTGGTAGAGTTCACTAATGAGGACATGGAATATTCTTTGTGGGAAGATTTCTGACTAGCAATTACTTTAATTTAGAATTTAAAAAACCCAGAAAATTTCTGAGTTTTTTTTCTACTTTTTGAATCAGTTTTGTAAAATTATATGTTACTAGGAATTCGTCCCTATCTTCTAAATTTTCTTTTGGTATCAAGATACCAATAATACTCTCACATCTTTTTTTAAATTTTTAAAAAAAATTTATTTTTAATTATTATGGATACATAATGCTTGTATAACTTTATAGGGTACATGTGATGTTGCAATACAGGTACACAATGTGAATTAATCAAATCAGGGTAATTGGGGTTTCCATTACCTTGGGTATTTAACATTTCTTTGTGTTAGGAATATTCCAATTACACTCTTTTAGTTATTTTAAATAATAATCTCATCTTTTATACATTCATAGGATCTGTAGTTATATTTCTTTTTTTGTTCCTAATATTGTTACTTGTGCCTTCTGTCATTTTATCTTAGTATTGTCTTATGTTTAATAATTTAATTATTGTTTTCAAAGATCCAATTTGGGCTTCATTGATCTTCTTAATTGTGTGTTTGTTTTCTATCTTATAAATTTCTATCTCTAGCTTTATTAAATCCTCCTTTCTACTTCCATTAGGTTCATTTTGCATTAGTTAGCTTCTTGAAGGCCTTCTTTCCTAATACTGTATATGTAGTTTAGTATGTAAATTTTCCTTAAGTACTGCTTTATCTGTAATGCATAAGATTTGATATGCAGCATTTTCTTATAATTTAATTAATTTCTCTTCTAATTCTCAGTATGATTTCTTCCTTGAACAACAGGAAATTACAAAGAGTATTTCCTAATTTCCAAATATATAGGGGCTTTTGAGTTACCTTTTTGTTGTAAATATCTTTCTGTTAAAGATTTCCAGCTTAATTGCAGGTTGGCCAGTAGCCTGCCTAATGGAAGTTCAAATAACTTCCATTATTTGAAATGTGTTGAAACTTGCACTATGGCCCAGAGTATGGTCATCAGAGAGACAGCAAGAGTCGGTCTCTCCTAGGCGTCTGCCTAAGGGAAAACACAGCTGCCCAAGCCTAGTATTCAACTGGATACTCAGTCAAAGACGAGAATGCTAATCAGGGTCCTCAGAATAGTTTCCTCTTTTCCCAGACGTTTAGCAAGATGCTTTTGAATCACGGTCACATTCATTGCAAAAAGTAGATATAATTTTTAATTCCTCTCCTCATTCTTTTTCTCTCTTACCAAATAGTGATGCTTAGACTATACAACCGTCTATAAACCTAATAGGGATTTAACCTTCTGGTTAAGGATAATGACTTGAATCTTAGTACTTCTGCCTTTTTTTTTCCTGCTCCCCCTGCCCTCGCTTGCTTCCTTCTTTCCACTTATTCATTACTTGGCCATCTATTAAGTTTTTGTCCCTAGTGATAAAGCCATAACAAATGCCAATTATTGAGAAATAATGATAAATAAAATTAGAGAGTCAATAGGAAAAAAGAAAGAGTGAAGACTTGAGAAATGAGGCAGTAATTGTCATTAATATTTATAATTGATATCACTTTATTAAAAAAAATCACAAAGTTAAAAATAAACCCAGTTTTTACCCTGAATTTTCAGCATTGACTTATTCTCTTAAACTTGTGACCCAATAACAGGAAAATGTATGGTTCTATTTCATTCTTTTAACTTGTGTCATTTCCTTAGCTCCAGACTAAAAATACTTATTCTGAAGTGTATGTTTAAAGTAATAGATGCCATTACACTAGCAATATTTTTTAAGAAAGCTAATAAATTTATAACTAAAATTATTCACAAAAACTCAAAATAAAAAGTAAATCAAATAGATATTTCCCAAAGACTTCCAATAAAAATAACATTTATTTATACCTAGTTAAAGAAATTAGCAAAATAAATATTATATGATACAAAACAAATGAAGAGAATTTGTATTACTATCTATATTAAATAAAAGCCATATGATGAATAATTTAACTATCACTGATGTTTTAATCTCAGTAAATATCAAATTAAAAGAAAAATACATAGATTTCTTCCAATTCAACTTTTTTTCAGTTAGCTACTATATTAGCATGATACTTTTCCTTCATACTTCACAGAGGTATATCGCTTTCTTTTGTGCCTTTAAATTTTCTCTATACTGAGACAAAGTCACATCAATTTATGAGTTTGTGCAAAAGAACAATTACACTTCTAGAGAATAAACATTGACCTGGATCATTTAACAGGCACTTACCATCAAAACACTTGTTCCTGTTACCCGATTGTTTTTTTTTTTTCAGGTAGATATGAATATATAATATCTTGAAATTGCTGGTTTGTTTAGGGTAGAAATCCAAAATGTGTTTAAAGAGATGATATTTGGGGAAAAATACGAATCCATATTAAAACTACATATCATACCATGAATTTTAATTTGTGGTTCAAACATTTAGGTAAATAACAAGAAAAAGGAGGAGGAAAAGGAGAGAGAAGGAAAAGAAAGAAGGAGGGAAAGGAGAGGAAGAGGAAGGAGGGGAAGGAGGAGAGGGGAAAGAGGTAGGGAAGGAGGAGAGGGGAAGGAGGAGAGGGTAAAGAAGAGGAATAGAGAAGGAAGGAGGAAGGAAACAGCAGGAGGAATACCCAGGAGGACAGAAGAGGAGAAAGTAGGAGGAGGGAGGAAGAGGAGGAGGAGAGCAGAGGGAAGAGGAAAGTGAGGAGGAGAGAGAAAGGAAGGCAGATGAAAGAGATAAGGCAGACAAGGCGGAGAAAGGGAAGAAAATTTCATTCTCTGATCTACATTCAAGTCAAACACTTAGATTTTCTGTTTCCTTAAAGCTGACTCACCATTGCAGTTGCCATTGGATAGAGAATTGAGCAGCGTGTTTTGTTCACACTGCAATGGAAACAAATGCAAAGATGAAAACTGTTATAATTCATTTCTGTGAAAAAAGTACACCATTCTTTTCTCTATAAAAAATAACCAAAAAAATAGTCTCCAACAATTATTTTTCACTAGCTTTGTTTTCAGAATGATGTATACAAGAAACTTTGACAAGATAAAATGATCGTTAGTTTTAACTATGTATTAGTTCAGTAGATAATTCATGTTATCAAGTCAAACTGTCTTCTTTAGAATATTTTCTGCAAGACCAGGATTGTTTTGATTTTGGATCAGAAATGAAACGTTTGCATATTTTTTTAAATGTAGCATATCCAATCAGAAATTAACTTCATTAACAGCATTCTCAGAGGGAGAGCCACTGATCATATATTTCATAGCACACAAAAGTTAACTGTTCATCTGTAGCTCCATGAAAATGCCCAAGAAACATTCCTGATTTATGGAAATGCTGGAGAATGAAAATGGCTCTGTATGCTACATTTAAGCTTCTCTGACAACAGTTGATGCCTCTAATGAGATCACATGCTATCTACTTCTCAAATAATGTATTCTTGTTATTTTTGTTAATGATGATGATGATAGCAATTGGTATTTCTTTAGTACTCTATACCAAGGACTTTACATTAATCACTTAATCCTCAGAACAATCCTAATGAAGTTACTGATCTCATTTTTCATAGTAGAGAGTTAAAGATTAGAAAGTTTAAATAATTTGACCAAAGTCACAAAGCTAATAAGAGTCTGGACTAAAACCAAAGTCTATGCTATTCCAATTCCGAACCTCATATGCCCAACTGCTATATTACACTGCTTCTGTCATGCAATCAGTTTTCATCTTAAAGGCTGACTAGAGCACTTCTATTTTCTCTTCTTGATGCCCAATAGTACAGCTTATATATTTTAAGTCTGGCTCTGACAATTATCAGCTATACAGTTTCCAACAGGTTATTTCACATTTCTTGGTCTCAACCCTCTTTTTATGTAATATTCAAGTAATACCACTTCCATTGTGGGGCTGGTGATGATCAAGTTAGACAGCCTAATTAAAGGGGCTGGCCCCTTAGAGATATTCAATGGCTATGGATTTCCTTTTCCTCCTCTTAAAAATACCTTGCCTGAAATCTCCCGTGCAGAAGAATGTCAAATAATTTATATAGATACTCCGCCTTAAAGAAAGTGAATCACACCTCCATGCTCCTTAAGTATGGGCTGCACACAGTGACTTCCTTCCAAAGGGGAAGTATAGAAAGGGGAGGGGGGTGGTTAAAGGAACTTTATGGTGGAGAAACCTGGCAAACATCACCTCATTCTGGTGACCAAGGTTAACATCAACAGTGATAAATCACATTCATATGCACCCTTGATACGATGTGATGAGAAGGGTACTTACTTTACCTCTATAGTTTTCCTCCCAAGAAGGGCCCCATGCTTAGAAGGGTCTCCCACTTGGTTTAATGCTTTGCTGTCACCATCTTGAAATTCTTAATAATTGTTGAACGAAGGGCCTCATAGCTTCATTTTGCACTGGGCCCCTGCAAATGACATACCTGATCCTGTATCTAGGGCCTCTGTGTTATGGATCAGTAAGAGGCCCAGAGGCAGAAGCATGAAGCTGTGATGGAAAGGGACGTGGTTCCTCAGAAATGGGAGGGCCAACATGGTCTATATAGCTGAGTGACTGAGAAATAATACATGCTTAAGGATGTAAGAGAAAAAAGAGATCTTTGTGATCTAGAGTAGGCAAGAAAAGCTTCATGGAGAGCATAGTTAACCAAACTACTAATAATAATATTAGCTATGCTTTTGTGATATTGCGTAGGCCAAGCACTATTTTAAGTGCTTTGCATATATTTACTCATTTACTCATCTTGATTACCCATGAGAAAACTGAAGCACAAAGATTCAATATCTCTGTTAAAGTCCCACAGCTAGTAAGTGGCAAACCCAGGCAGCTTAGATGTAAAGGCCATGCTGTTAACATTGCAGAGGGCTTAAGGATTCAAATGATGATAGATAGTTCATTTACATTGAATCGTACTGGTACACATTTGATTCAGTATCTCTGTTAATTGATTTTATTTATGAAGGTAAAGACTTCTGGAATTTTAGAATAATGTTATAATGATGGCAATAGGTTGTGCTTCCCTGAAGTCATTTATCATATTCTATTACTTTTAGAGTTTACTCTAACACTTTTTTGTTAGAACCTTGTTAAAAAGGTCATTTCTATTAAGTGATTTGTCTTATATATTCTTCTCATGGTTATAGTACCTGGTACACATGTCCATTAGATATATGCTAAATGAATGAATGAATGAACAACAGAGTGATTACCTAAAAGCTAATTACAAGGACCAAATAAAAAGTATAATACAATATTAGGTTTTGCTGAGAGGAGAGGTCTCCAAACACTTTTAAAATGTTTTATTGTTTGCTTGACACATTTTTTAGTGCCATGATATAAGGCTACCTGTAGTATGACATTGAAACTACTGATCCTACCTTGCTGATGTCATCAAGTAGCTGGTTGCTGGCATTTTCCTTTTGGATTATGTTCATTAAATCCATATGAAATTTCTTTGCATTAAGGAAAACGAGTGGGTTGTTAATTGAGATAATTTTCACCTGCTGCAGTGTTTCCTTTTAGATGAGAAAAAAATTAGATTTAGAGCTCTGAATTAAATAAGAGAGAATCACTATATCCAGCAAGTATAAATCTTATAAGTCCAAATACCACTCAATTGTGCAAGCAATCTTTTAACTAACATTTTAATTATTAAAATTTATTTAGAGGCCTTAATGTACTATCACACTTCTTGGGAAAATATATACTTCCTCTTTACTAAGAAGCATTAATAATTGGGAGATAAGTTGCAGCTTTTCGGAAAGTGGCCCTTATTCCTACTAACTGGGTGTTGGGGAGGCAGTAGCCTAGAATATCCAAACAAAACCGGGAAGATCTATCTTCCCAAAAGTGCCTCTTCCATTCAATCTATCAATTGACAATTAATTTACTTGGCCATCAGTATTTTTTAAATGTGAAAATGTGTTTTGAATGGTCAACTGCCAGTCATTTACCTTGTAATGACATAGCTTTCCTTTAGCTGAAATATAACTTTACAATTGACTGATAGTCCCAATTAGAAGACAGAGACCGAGAGGCAGTATCAGGAATATAACTTCACTTTGGGTAGGCCTAGGTTACTGAATTGCCAGGATGTAGGTGAGAGTTGCAAAAAGAGAGAAATAAAAGTTTTAACATAAAAGGTGTCTGCTTCGGCCATCTGCCCAGGTATTACTGGCAGCATTTGGTGGTATGCAACTAAAACCATCTTCTCTTTGACCTTTGGAGCCAGGCATCTGACCTAGAAACTGAGAGCATGGCAAATTCTATGAAATGACAACTCCTTACCAACTAAGTAAAGCAATAGTTCTTCAGGCTCTAGTACTTCCATAGAAGAGGAAATGCAGAGAATAGTAATGCATACAGGAAGAGGACAGAAAAATGAAAGAAAGAAAATATTAGGTATGTTAATTTGGACAATTCATTTAACCTTTCTCAGTTCCTTATTTTTTAAACTAGATAATCTCAAAAGTTTCTATAGCTGCAAAACTGATTAAACTCTAGAAAATGATGAGATCTGCAACAAATAATTAAAAAAAAAAAAAGGCTTAAGTTGCCAAACTAACTTTTAGTCAAGAGTAAACCTCTTAGAAACTAAAAATAAAATATTAATTCTAGGCTTGTCATATTTAGTCACACAAAACCCCAAACCTTAGATTGACCACATCACATGATTGTGCCAATATGTTAAGTTAAGATAATATGAAAAATATACATATTTATTAGAGAACAGAGATTCAAATTGTTCCAGATAAATTCTTAGCCAGGCATGGTGGCACACGCCTATAATCCTAGCACTTTGGAAGGCTGAGGTGGGAGGATCACTTGAGGCCTAGAGTTTCAGACCAGCCTAGGCAACGTAGTGAAACCCCATCTCCACAAAAAATTAAAAAAAAAAAAAATTAGCTGGGCATGGTGGCATTTGCCTATAGTAGTCCTAGCTACCCTGGAGCTAGGAGGCAGGAGGATCTCTTGAGCCCAGGAGCTTGAGATTGCAGTGAGCTATGATCATGCCACTGCACTCCAACAGAGCAAGACCCTGTCTCAAAAAAAAAGAAAAATTTTTTTTTCCAATGGAGTTTAATTCACTGAGTGGGAAGAGATATCCCAAATCAGGATAGGGTTTTTTATATGAAGAGTCCATAAATGGAAAAAAGGAATAACAGATCATTTTGTTTAAGTTAGTTAAAAATTCCATCCATCAGTTTATATTCAAATTTTGCTCTATTTTAGTTTTTCCCTCTTATTTCTAACACAAAACACTAAGTCACTAGTGAGATTTACTATTTTAATAAAATTAAAATTTCCATGTGTCACAGTTATTAGTCAGGTCAGTAATTAGACTGGAAATAATCAAAGTTTAAAGATGTGGAGAGATTTCTAGCATTTCCTAAAAATCCCCTCATTCACTTCTCCACGTGTTTAGCTCAAGAAGAAGGTAAGAATTAAGCAGAATTTATTAACTGGTGATTTTTAAGATGAAAAATAGTCAAACCCAAAGTCAAATTTTGTCTGAAAGCTAAGGATGTCACATCTAAAGCATGTGTACACATGGTGTGATTCACAGAGGACATCGGGAGCCCGAAGAGCCAGTATGGGACTTTGCACAGCGCTAAATTCTGATTAAAAATGTAAGGAAAGAAAAGAAAGTCAGAGTGAAAACTTGAGCTTGGAACACCCTCAAAGTCTCTAAACTCAAATAGCTCCCTGTGGATCCAACCTTTCCAACTTATTAAAATCACAAGCCATTCCCCTGGGTGTCATAGAAAGGCTCCTGATGCTCCTCTCTGCTTCCTGTCTATCTGAGACTACCCTGATGCTGGTCCTGCTGGGGGAGACCAGCTCCCTCTGTTCTGACAGGAATCGTGAGATACTGGAGCAAGTGCGTGAGTAAAATAAAGGAAAAAAGGTTGGCCAAACATTTACAAAGCAGATTCAAAGTGAGGGCAATTTTTTTTTAACTGGCAAAAATATTTCAAGTCAACATTTTTTCCTTACTTTAAACTCATTTGATGATCCCTTAAAATAAGACACCAGAACTCAAGTACAGTTGGCCAACCTAAGCATGGGCAGGGCAAGATAATTTACATAAGTTGTTTCCTTAAAAAGATGTCCACTGTGCATGAAACCAATCCCACTGGCATTCCATAACAATTGGAACAATTGGACTTCATTGCCTTCTGCTAACAACACAATCCCATTGACTGAGGGTTTTTTAAAACAAAAAAAAAAACGATACCATGAACCAACTTTGCTTCATTCCTCCATCACTTAACTCAGAATATACTATAGGTTTGGTTTGATTACTATGCAACTAAGTAATGGAAAAGAGGTTTCCAAATGCCTGAACTAATGTGGGCCATGATTCTATTGTGAATTGTAGCTCTATGAACCATAATATGATCTTATCTGAATGCTAAATCCAAAGAGGGTTTTTTTTTGTTCTATTGATTTGCTGCATGTACACTATAACATGTGTGGTAGTCACATATATACCACTGGAACCTCATACTAATAAGAAATAGAATTATCATGTTTTCAATTGTCATAATTTATCTTATTTTTATGATATCTTAAAACTATCTCACTCACAAAAATTATTAATAATTGCACAAATGAAAAAGAAAAATAAACTTACACTGTCTGTTTCTGTCTTCACTTTAAATTCCATTTCTTTCATGTTTTTTATACGTAGAGTCTTTGCTCTAAAATAAAGGCAGATAGAAAATAAAACTAATCAATGCATAAACAATGAAGAAACAAAAAGGATAAGCCATTTTATCTTAACAATTAGAATGTGTATAAAATGGTTTAGATCCTAGAGCCCATTTGTTTCTAAGACATTGTTAAATCTATGTATCTCTGGGATCTCAGGAATAGAGGGTAATAGCAGAGGCATCTAAGTAGAGATTAATCAATGTAATTTTCCTCATTTACATACCCAGAACCCCATACCTCCAAGCTACAAGAAGTGGATTGGTAAAGAAAAATTATAAAAGAGAAAAATCCAGAGAGTTTGCAGTATTTGATAAAATCTGATTTTAAAGAAAAGGAAGGAAAGAAGGAATCAATGGCAAGGTACAACCAGATAATAAGGAATCTGCATTTATAGACTCTACAAAGATACAATCTACATAGATAAAATTTTACATTTATCAGAATATATTATTCCACAAATAATTTCAAGGAAAGGATGAGAAGTGAGGAGTATTGTCAGATGAATACTGGGGAAGCAGAAAAAGAATTGGTCAAATTCTTTTGAAATGGTTTGCAGATATTCAAGAAAAAGACAAAAAGAAAAAGTGTGTTCCTCAATAAGTTATCTAAAAAATTTTATGTATGTAGAAATAAATTAATCTATCTTCTGAAAAGTAAAATTTTCTAAAGTTATTTGATTTTCCAAATGATTACATTGGAAATATATTTTGTGTTTCATTGGATACTAAATCTCTTCACTTAATTAAAAAAAAATCTCTGATACAGTATATGTGACTAAGGAGTTTATTTGTTTTAATATATTTTATAATGTTGATAAGAAATAAATAAATGGGACTTAATTAAATTAAAAAGCTTCTGCACAGCAAAAGAAATAATGAACAGAGTGAATACACAACCTACACAATGGGAGAAACTATTCACAAACTATACACATTATACATCAAAGGAATGATGTCCAGAATCTACAAAGAACTCAAACAAATCAGCAAGAAAACAAACAAACAACCTCTATTTCTTTTTTTTTCAGACAAGCATTGTTAAATATCATATGGAGATAAAATATTTTCTTATCTGTTTGTCTCCAATTCTCTGATAGCAAGTAAAACATGAGTTTGCAGTACTATATGCTACACAGAAATAAAAGTAACCACAACACCATATACTTTACTGCTGTGTCAGAATAAACAGGGCATTTAAATGAGATCTCACCTGGGGAAGCGTCCTATCACTATAGCTATGGTACAGACAACGCCAAACAGCAGTCCCACGTTGGCAGCAAAGCATATTGTAAATATGTATGTACTGACCCATATGCCCTGAAAGAGAAACAGGAAACAGAAGATGTAGGTCCTTTGGAACGCTTACATTTCTGTCATGATTGCTAAGTGCCTCACAATCTTATTTTACAACATTCCTGTGACCAAATCTCTCAGCAAGAATATATTATTTAAGAAATGGTAAACAGAAACCCAGGAATACAGAAACAAATCCTGGCTCCATCAGACTCTCAGCAGCAGAGGTGGGGAAAGGTTCATTCTTTTATTTCCAGATAATGCCAACTCCTATTTCAATCCCCAACAAACACTATATTTAAGATCTGTAAATAGTTGGTTGATGCGTATGGTTCAAAAGCATACCATAATTTCCCACTGCTTTCTCATTTAATGTAATAATATTACAAGCAATTGTTTGCAGATTTCTGGTCATTTCCAACAATGCTCTGTTTTCTAGGATTTTTACAAAAATAACTAACGTCATTTATTATTATATAAGGCTCTGAAAGCCTAATGTTAAAAGGACTAAATCAAACAACACTTCCAATGCCACTTTTAGATCAACCACTATGGAGATCATTATAATTTTATTTGCAAGGGGCCATTCATTGTGAAAGCTAAAAACTCAGGGCCAATTTAGTTCTTGGGAACATTTCAAAAGATTATAAAAAAATTCTAATTCTCTTTTAGTTAGAATTCCAAAGTTATTGCAGTTTTGTTCATTACTTAAAATTACAATTTGCAATAAGATATTGTATTATAGTTGATATTTCTAAGCTTAGAGCTGCAAAAAAGTCTTTAAAAGCAAAATAATTTTTGAAATCCACAATGTTATACTTTCTAAGCACAAAATCCTACATTTATCAAATAGTACACTAACACGATTTTCAAACCCTCTTTTTTTTCATCAAATAACCTGCATCCTTTTGTTTATAAATGCAATTCTAAATTGATTTCTTTCTGTCCCAATACCTGTCTGATCACTTTAAAATATCTTCAAAAACATAACTCAATTCCATATACAAATGAAAAAGCTAGAAACTTCTCTATAATCTGAAAATAACATAAAATATTGGGGGGGGTGGAATATAGGTTTGTTGTTTTTTTTTTAAAGACAAGTTTAAAGCAAATGTTTCTAAAGAGTTTTTTCTTTTTTTTGGTTGCAACACTTTTCCTTTGTATTATTTATCTACATTGAGCTTGAGTGGTTCTTAATAATGGGCTGTTTTGAAAAGCTGAGCCCTTGAACGCAAATGGAAGGACATTTCCTTTTGATGTAGGAGAAATACATATTCTGGAATAAAAGAGAAAATATATTTTAAATAATTCTCATGTTAAGATCCATCACTTCCAGATGTAATGCTAAGTTTGCACTTAGTATGAGATCATTCCCAGCCTGTCATCTCATAGGTTAGGACACTGAGATGTTTTTCCTTTATTCAGATGAATAGACAATCATTTGAGCCTTCTGTTTGTACATAGTGTGTTTTTCCTTTCCAACATATTACACTGTACTTAATAATATACAAAATAAGGCTGCAAGTTTTTGATGAATACTTCAACTTCCCAAGATGACTCTGAGTCTTATTCAGCCCTAAATGCTGACTGACCCTGCCTGAGTGTGCCAGAATACGACCTCACCACAAGCTCTATAAGTCTAATGCCTCCTGGCCAACCTCCATGACTCAATATGGCATAGGGAACTAAGGATCCTGGTCCCTGCCACTTAAAAAACCACAGAGCCTGGAGGCCAGGATTCATCAGAGTAACCAGAAGTTTTGGTACCATATGGTTCTATTTTTAAAGCACATTTACTCTCCCACAACATCATCCATTATAAGTTGCGCTTTCATAATGCTTAGTTATTTCCTGGGGCTACAGTTATAGCTTTGAAAAAATATGAAATGGAAATTAATAACATAGATCAGTAAATAGTTCCACTGGTTAAAATAAGTCCTAACGGTATTCTGCAACAATTCCTGTTAAAAACCCAAATGCTGGTTGTCACAGTCATCAGGAATCAGTTAGCTCTAAGACCCCTGTGTGCGTGTGTGTTTTTTTCTTTTTTCATTCCTGTTTGCTCCTTTCCCTATTTGGCACTCACAATCCCCAAACAAAAACTAACCCCAATGTTGATCTTAAGTAGGGAACAGAAAAATCTTTTCTCCCTATAGAAAATGTATCAGCATAAAACATAGTACAATAGCTACTGAGTCACCTCACCTCTCCCTAACTTAGGTATTATACTATCTGTTTTGGTGATAGATCCATATTGTCAAATTTTTATAGATCTGAATTTTATACCTATTGTTTGGCTACTCAAACTTAGTCCTGAGCCCATGAGTCAAGGCTCCAAAATCCCTATTTCCTCATTACTTCAAAGAAGGTTTTGACCTACAACTCAAAATAGAATCAATATTAAACTATAAAAAAAAATTTAAAGAAATAAAAAGTATCTGATCTTTTAAGAGATGACTCATTACATAATTTTTTAGCATTTTAAACCTTCAAGTTATTTTGTACACACACACGCCTGACTGGTAATTTTGCTTCCATGATATTCTAGGCATCTTCTACCTATTAAGTAAACTAGACATATTATGTCTATTTGGTAATGTAGCATCCATCCACAAAGTCTGTGCAATATTCTCACTTTACATGCTATACTCAGGTCATATCGCAATAATCCATGGCTTTTCACTGTTGAATCCCTTATAAGCTAGGAGATACTTATCCTTGCCAACCAAAGAAGGCCACTGTCAAATAAAATCCAATGTTCCTCTGAATCATCATGCACCTGCTTTATCCATATCACCATTCTTAACATTACTCTTTGCTCATACCATATTGCCTATTTACTCTACATTTTCAACTATCACCTTTAAATAGGAGACTATCAATTCTAAGCTCTTAAACAATTTTTTAAAACATCAAATACCTTCAAACTCAGCATGTCCAAATGCCAACTACTTAAGGTTAGCCCCAAAATATGCCCTTCCTTCCATGTTCTCCTTTAGTTACAAAACTAGTATTCTTCAATACACTATAATTAGATACTATGGAATCATATTTTACCCTTTCTATTCTTTCATCTACTTGTCTATTGTCTAATCATTTCATAAGTCCTATCAATTATTAATCAAAAATATCTAAAACCATATGCTCTCTTAATTCATTAATGATGCCCTAGTCACACTTTGCTATCCCTTTCCTATACTATTTTGCCAAGCTCCTACCTGTTTGCTTTTGTTATATGCATTGTAAACCATTTGCCATAATGCAGTGTAACCACTGCAGCCATAATTAATTTTTTAAGTATAGATTTGGATATCAGATTTAGATAACATATTAAAGTCAGTTTTACTCTACTGCCCCATTAAAACCCACAAAAAACAATATAAGCAATGAATATACAGAGGGAAAAGTAGCTTCAATGAATAAGAACATGATCAAAACTCCTAACTATGCCAAATACTATGAAGTTGGGATGATGATCAGGGAAGACACTAGATGCCAACAAATTTATCCTTGGAGTTCAACCAATTATAGAGTTTTATATAAATACCAGAGTCTTGAAAACTCTATGCAATAATCTTCTGATAGGAGCTTCTAAGGGCAAGAGTTTCTAAGTTCTAGGGCTAAGAATGGGCCATAAGAGAAGCAGGAAATGTACCCATAGAGAGATTTATTTGATACCATAAAACTGCAGAAGTGAAATGCCATCTCTATCACTTATAACCTAGTTCCTAACCAAAGGAAACTGCTGGAGTTGAAGCAAGATGAAAACGGAGAGAAGACAACAGTGTCAGATCACCGGAGAGCCTGTGATTTCTGAGGCTTTGCTTTTAACTAGGGATGCGTCTTCAGATGACATGCCTAAATCAGAATCGAGGGTTGCTTCACCTCATTTCCTACCTCCTTCCTTCCCCACATTATTCTTCAGCAAATAGTTAGGTCCACTAAAAAACGTACTATAATCCTAAAAAAATCATCAAGGGACCTATTTATAGAAATGAAGAAAAGAAGAAAGAAAATAATGCAATAAAGACAAATGTTGGGTTTGGACAGATAACAAGCAAAATAACCTCAGGGAGAAGAAATTCTCAAAAAGAGATGTAAAGATTTAAAAAAGAAATACTTTATTAAAAAAAAACTGGAGAAGATAAGCAAGCTTGAAGAATTTAGGAAAGAAATTGAGTGGAAATAAAAACATTACAGAGACAAAGTCATATTTAAAACTAAAAAGTAAAATAAGCGTAAGAAAAACATATTCAGAGATATATGAATAGTCAAAAGAAAACACACAGAGAAAAACAAAATAATCATGAGAAATACATAGGTATGAAAAAAGACAAAGTAAAATCAATAGACACATAATTCATTAAGAGAACAGATACATAGATTTGAAAAGATATTCAACCATATACAATTAATAAAAGAAAAAAATTATAAATAATTCTTGAATCTGAGACCAAAAGAGTATGACACACTCACAGAAATTTGAGAATGGGTGATAATATTGCCAAACTTCATGGGCAAGATGAAAAACTGCATTGAGCATCCATTTAGAAAAATAAACTCGTATAAAATAACAACAAAAAAATGTATATTGGCCTGTGATTTCTCTACTTTATCCTTCAATGCCTAAAGATAATGCCAAGTATTAACATTAAAAAGTCCTGAGGTAAACCATTTTAGACTCAGCCAAAAACTTTCTTCTGGTGTAAAAAGAAAACAAGTAGATATTTTCACCACGAAATAGCTCAAAGAATATAAAACACATTAGCCCTTCTTGGAAAACTACTTGGTGATGACATACAGAAAACAGATGAAATACATAACTCAGGAATGAGATCTACATTTTTTTTAAAAGACTAAAGGTACCTACCAATCGCATTTAAGTAATAGAATCTTCTATATTCTGTAACGCAATAAATGATACCATCTTTCTCCAAAGATGTTCCTCACTAGAAACTCAGATGTCATTCTAGACTGCTACACTTTATATAGTGAACTGGTGGTGAGAACTAACTAATCCAACCTCTTTAATATTATTTCAATCTATTCTCTCTTCTTGAACTTCATGGTCTCAGTCTTGGTCTAGGCCTTCCTCATTTGCTTGTCTGAACTGCTAAAGCAGTGCTCCAATTGCTGTATACTCCATCGGTTTGGTCCATCTTTCTCAAATTACTCAAGTGACCTTTCTAATACGTAAATGTTATCCCTCTTTCACTTTTCAGTGATGCTTCATTGCTTTTAGAATGAAGCCTAGTGGGTGGGGAGAAAAAAAAAAAAGAATGAAGCCTAATCTTCTTTGGAAGACATGAGCAGACTTTGCCAATCCGATACATTCTTAATTTATCCAACCTCATCTTTTACTACTCCCATCCTCATACTATGCATTCTACCCATGCTGAACATCTTGATTTTTCAGAGCCAGACATGCTCATAATTCCGTATCTTTGCATACATGGTTCTCTTTCTCTCTTCCCCAGGAAAGGTCCATTTATTCTTTAATTCTCAGCTTAGAAATCACTTCCTGGAATACTTCCCTGTCATCTTCTCCCTTTCTAATACAATGTGCTCTCTCCTACCTGATTAATGAGTTCCTTAGAGGTACCTTTATCATAGGTTATCATGTAGCTCATTGAATAAGTTTGCGTCTCCTTATTTCTTGGTTTCCATGAGCTATCTCACATTTATCACCTTAAAAAAAGTCATGGCTAATTTTAGCCTCTTGGCCTGCCTACCAAATATTACTGCTCCTTCAAGTCTCAGTTCATATCTTATTAATACCTTTGCTCTGAGAGTCTTTCATATTAACCAGTCCAAATTAAATGTCCCTGCCTCTATTTTTCCCCAGAACTAAGCTTGTACTTTTACTCCCAGGACATGTTGTATCATGGCTTGCATAAGTTAGTGTTCCTGTGCATGCTTTCTGTAATAATGATAATTGCCTGGAGAGAATGGATAGTTCTTTATTTATCTCTATATCCTTCATGAAACCCAGCATTGTCCTTTGGTGGCAGCTCAGTAATATTGAGCCCCAGGAGGAATATTATCAAAGTAAACATGAGGGTAAATAGTACTCCAAAATCTCTCAGAGAAAAAGATCATTACATTTCAATAGATCATTACATTTCAATAAGGCGAATGCTATAATAGGGCTAAACAAAGGGTACTTGTGAACTACTTCACCCATATTAGAGAGGGAGAGAATTTTGGATACTCTTGCATAGATTGGTTTCTCTAGAGTAAGTGTGTTAAATATTTGTTAGTAGAAACAACACTTCATTATTGTTCAGTATAATTTAACCTATTCTCTGCAATGTTCCTTTCAATGTAACCCATTTAAAAGACAATTCATGAGACTTTGAATTTAGAATGAATGGAGTCATCATTAAGAGATTCGTCCTATATTCATGGAGCAGACATTCTTACCGTTTAGTGCTGGTTTTTCATACATGACATAAATTGTCATATTTCTATTAGTGTGTACGTCCTTGAGTCTTACTTCCAGAATTAACTCATAATATAAATTGAGCATCCCAAATCTACTCAAATTAGTTAGCATTTCTTTAAAAGATCTGAAACTACACATCGATCAAAATTTGGCAAAATTTCATTTCTGTTTCTTATCAAGTCAATTTATATTTTAATGTTTTAAGGTTTTGAACAAAAATAAATAGTAGTTTGTAAAATGTACAAATCTCAAATGTCTAAATCTATTTTTCTGCAACTAAAAGTATTAAAGCTTATTTGGTAATGTGTGCTTAAGCCAGTGAGGAATATTTTAGGTCAAATTTCTACTTACCCAATCAATTTTGTCCACATTCCAATATTTTTTTAAATCTCGGAACTGTATTAGCATTCCCTTCAGTCCCACAACAATAATGCTTGCAAGAACACACTGGAAATAAAAATAAGTTGATGAAGAAAGCAAGATATAGATTTTAATTTAAATTTAAAAAGATCATGGTATTTTTCTTTATTTGTTTTTAAAGTACTTAGTAGAGAAAAGCAGTCACCAATTACAAAACTAAACTAATATTTATTTTTGCTTAAAACTAACCTATTATTGTACTTTAGGAATACAATTCTAGCAATTCACGAGATAAAACTTATAAAATTCTAAAATACAAGAAGGAAAAGAAAAAAAAAGGAAAAGAAGTGCGTTATAAAGGTGAATGTCATGAGGCTGAATGCCCCCTAACTATGACTATTCATTGTCATCTGTTTGAATGTGTTTGTTGCAAAAAATTAAATATTTATATGAGATATTTCTTTATAATTGCATAATTAAATACCAGTTATCTGGTTTCACCTGAAGATGTTTCTAACTCTCTCGAAATGTGAACTGAATTATTGGAAGATCCTCCCATGGTTGATTTATTCTCTTCTACACAAATGAAGAATTAGAACAACAAAGGATAGAAACCCGGCTCTCTTAAGCCTGGAATCTTATTTGCGTCACTTTGGTGCCCCAGGCTTATGAAAGGCAAAGTGAACCACTGAGATTAATGTTCTGAGTCAAATTGTGCAAAGCATGTATCAAGAGTGGGAAGATGTATTATGTTCCCTACTTCCTTGCCCCAGCACACAAAGTTCTGGTAAAATTCTTCCAAGCTCTACTTCTTATGACATAGTGTGCACAGTTCCACCCGCCACATAAGTACGGGATGCATCCAGTTGCACAGTGTCATTTTTATATGAGAGCAAGAAGTAGAAAACAGCCATGGCATTCTCCTATTCCTCCCTCATCAAATGTGGTAGCTTTCCACCCCTCCTCCATTTAACGTTTACCTATGTATCACGATTTTCAGATTTAGGATTATCAAAGTTACACTTCCAAGAAATTTCATATACACAGTGATTCTCATGAAAAGTTAAGTTAAAAAGAAGATAGTGAAAAAGCACTACTGTACCATGGGCAGCCAGTAAAGCAAGGGTCCTATTGCATAGATGACTATAAGGACGAAAATGCAAGATATTAGACAAGCCACCTGTAAAAGACAAGACAGACAAAAAAAGAAAGCCTTGAACCCTTTATTATATGAAAGTTATGGGGGTGGGGGAGATAATTCTTAGTTCATCTTGATTAGAAGAAGCAAAATGTTGGCACATAACTGTTAAATTGCATAGACTGTCATTATCTATATTTTGCAGCTGAGGGAAGCCAAATGTGACAGCTGACAAACTGGTACAATCAAATTAAGTCAGTGATGAGAGAAAAGCAATTCCACACAAAGAAATAGGACACCATCAACTTTTATCACACATCACAGTGATGGCTTTTTTGTTTAATAGTGAAAGTGGCATTTCAATTAAAAGTTTAGCCTGTTGTTGTTTAGCCTGACTCCCCTCTTTATTTTGTAGGAGGTTGTTTGGGTAATAATTGAATATGCAGCTTAGGATTTTTTTGGGCTGATGATAAATTTCCACTGAAGCATTTACACTCTTCTTTGGAGTTCTTTGTTAGTAAGGGCTGTAGTTATGCGGGGGTTATAGGGGATATGGGAGCAGTCCCTGGCATTGGAACAGACTTCATTTTACTAATCCTGAGAAGTCCTTGGTATCATGTTCTACCCAACTGAGCCTGCTGACAAAAGGGAATTCAAAACACCTGACTCCTACAGCTAGGTCCCACTTGTTGGAGAACCTGATTTCACGTAAGGGAATGTTCATGACTTAATAAAAACATTTAGCCAAACTGTCATTTTAACAAGAGAGAAGATACCTTTCACAGGACCACAATGATGCCTTGAACATCATTATGGAGATATCAAAGGGAATTTGGACCTATTAAAATGGCTTAAATTAAAAATAAATATATAAACAAACAATATTGAGGGCTTGCAGGACTCAGAGCAGCTGGAGTTTTCACGCAGTGTTGGTGGGACTGCAACATAGTACAACCACTTTGAAAACAGTTTGGCAGTTTCTTATGGAGATACATGTACTTACCGTATGACCCAGGTCTGCCTAAGGGAATGAAAACAATGAAAACATATGCCCACGTGAATACATATATGTAAATATTTATAGCAGCTTTATTGATTAAACACCATAATATGCAAATAACTTAATGTCCACCGATCGATGAATAGATAAATTGTGGCACATCCATAAAATAAAGTTCTACTCAGCAATAAAAAAAGAACATGGATAAAATTCAAAACCATTAAGTTAATGAAAGAAACTAGATACAAAAGGCTATATACTATAAGATCCTATATCTATGGCATTCTGAAAAAAAGAAAAATTATAGGATGCCAGGGGCTGGAGGTGGGAGAAGAGAATTGATGACAAAGGGGCATGAGAAAACTTTCAGGGGTGATAAAAATATTCTATATTTTGATTGTGCTTATCATTATAAAACAATATAGGTTTCCAAATAAAGTGAACTTCACACATTAAAAGGATAAATTTTACTGTATCTAAACTATACTCGCATAAACCTTCTTTATTTTTTTAAAGAAGAAATTGAAGAAGGGATCTGCACTAGTTGCTTTCATGCATGTTGCACACCCAGAGTCAAGTCCAGCATCACACCTGCCCTGAACCTGGTACTATTAAAAGGTATACACATGTACTCACCAGCAAATTGGTATTAACAGATCAACACCTAAGTGGACTTATAGGAGTGACATTTATCGGGTGTCGGGCAGGTGGGAGGGGGGAGGAGGGGATGGATATATACAACCACAACGAGTAAGATGTGCAACGTTTGGGGGATGGACACGCTTGAAGCTCTTACTCGAGGGGGTAGGGGGACATGGGCAATATATGTAACCTTAACATTTGTATCCCCATAATACGCTAAAATAATAATTAAAATAATAATAATAAATGGTATATGTGTGGAGAGAGGGAGAATGGAGTGGGAATAACTGTAACTATTCAGCTAAGCAAGCGGTCATTCAAAGGGACATAAGAACAGGCCTTTCCTTATTGCCAGAGGCTGAGGATGTCTTTTCGCCCTTCCATTTTTTGTGGAACTCTTTGTCAGCACATCCCAGCATACAGAAAGAAAAATAATTCTTACATAGGAAATAAATCATTAGGGAACTGATGATTGCCCATAAAAGAAGTTATAGTACACCAAGTAGTCACTATACTCCTATATTAAGGAGTAACTGGTGATTTTATAAGACAAGAATTTTTTAAACAATAAAATGTTAATGCCTGTCATTCCACTAGACTGCCAAGAGCTGGGTGTCAGAGTGTAATCACAGGATCCATCCAGAGAGCCCAGTATGTGACTCAGTAAATCCATGTTTACATGGAAAGAAAAAAAAATACCAACTGCTAAGGTTTATTTCAAGACAAAAAGAGAATGGCATGCACCCTTTTTGTGGGACTTTTCACTCATACCCTTACAATGTACCTGAAGCCAAAAAGCTGAAATGAACTGTGGACAGATAGAGTCTAAACTTCCTGGAAGGGTCTGAGGCACAGAGAGGCAAAGCAACTTGCCCAAGGTCCTGGAGCTAGGGAGTTAGAAGGCAGGCAGGCAACATGAATACGTACTGAATTGGGACCCATGAAATCCACACATATTTTAAGGTTCCTAGATAAATTACAGGTACACTAGAGCTGTTGTAGAAATCACAACATGACTAAATAATTCTAGTATTTAAAAACAGTAGACCACAACTACATTTGGGCTTTTCTCTAAATATTTAATTTGTCTTTTATTTACATGATGTTTTGTAGGTATCAACAACAGTTCACTTACTGAACTACAATTTCAGTCTTGTAATCAGAGTAAGTCAAGAATTAATTGGATCTCATTTGGCAAAGGGTGACAAACTATGGATGAAAAGGAGTATCTATTTACTTTAGATGCTAAGTCATATAATGAAAGCGACCATATAAGCAAACGGCTTATGTTAGCTCCCTTAATACACTTTTGCCCCATCATTGTTGATGCCCTAGGTCGAAAGAGGAATAAGTACATCTAACTGCACAAGAGAAGTGCATCTAACTAGACAAGAAAGCCTTACCAGTTCTGTCCAGTGTATCAACTCCCAGGTCATGGAAATTAATAATATAATAGTGTCTGCCTCAAAGCTCTCAAAATACTGAAATTCATTCTCGCCATAAATAAGAGGCTCAGATACTGAAGTCTGGATTCGTAAAAAATCTTTGAGCTCTTGCAATCCAAGCCATCACCCATAATTAGCCAGCTCAGTAATTTCAAAAAGAGCTTAAATTAAGATCAGATATTTGCAGCGCTACACAATAGACTTCTCTAACTTCAGGTTTCTATAATAACCCACTTAAGCTATATTCCCAAGGATCTTCATATTTGTTACTTTCCATAGGTGGTAATACTTTCTTGCATTTCTCTGATCCACTCAGAGAAAATTTTAAGCAAGTTACAACTAGAACAAGAGAAATAAGCTTGTTCCTTTTTTTTTAATCTCAGAAAATAAAACTGAAGTAGCTCCTTCCTAGTAAGTTTCAGGTTGGCTTAGGTTGTAACTAATAAGGAAAAGTGTTCACATACTTAATTATCCATAGGGCAAACACCGTCTAGAATTTTACTCTTCAGCTCTTTCCATGTCATACTAACTGTCCAAAGATAATTTTTTGTCTTAAAATCATCACTGCTCATATTTAAGAACTAATTCCACCTAAAAGATAATGAAAGAATCCATATTTTCTTCTTGTTACATTCACAAATATTATATGCGCTGTGCATGTTACTTACAAATATAACAGTGCAGGCATTAGAGTTACCCAAACCTATACATTGGTTGCGATGCCAGTTGTCTGCACCCTAAGTAGTTGTCAAAGAAAGCAAACTAGGTTGCGAGCTCACTACACACACAGTGTTGTGGAAAGTAGTGAAATGAGGAAAGAGGTGGGAAAGGGCAGAAAGAGAGAAAAAGAGAGAGGATACTGGGTAACCAGGACTAGGTTAAAGAAGGCTTTTAAGAAAATTAAAGCAATGAGCCAAATTTTGAAAGAAATAACGGAATATAGTTTGGCAAATTAGAACCTGGGGACAATCTCAATGTTGCGGAAAAACACGCCAGCTGTTGTTTTCAGTTGTGGCTGAGCCGCATCTGCAGCAGACGCGGTCTCTTATCCCTCGTGGTTACGCCTCCCCAACTCCCCGAAGAACATCAGTGTGTCTCCTCTGCTGGAAGTGAACAGAAGCGTGCAGGAGTAGAGCCAGGGGACACGGAGCTCCCTCCCATGCAACATTCTTTAGAGAGAAGCAGGGAAGGAAGAAACAGAACATTTATTCGTGCTGTTTATCTAAGCAGCATTGCTAGTCTGAGCACATGACCGGAATGCTGAGAGTGAGTGGAGAGCAGAGCCCCGGGGCAACAGACAAGGCTGAATCTTAAGACCTGTGCATGGCCGGCGCGGTGGCTCATGCCTGTAATCCTAGCACTCTGGGAGGCAGGAGTTCGAAACCAGCAAAGAGTGAGACCCCATCTCTACTATAAATAGAAACAAATTAATTGGACAACTAATATATATATATATATATAGAAAAAATTAGCCGGGCATGGTGGTGCATGACTGTAGTCCCAGCTACTCGGGAGGCTGAGGCAGGAGGATCCCTTGAGCCCAGGAGTTTGAGGTTGCTGTGAGCGAGGCTGACGCCATGGCACTCACTCTAGCCTGGGCAACAAAGCGAGACTCTGTCTCAAAAAAAAAAAAAAAAAGACCTATGCAAAGCCTTTCACGGGCCTTAAGCATGAGTATGTTTGCATTTTCAAAAGATGACTTTCCACAGAAATACTATGCTACAGAAATACTGACATTTCTGAACAAAAGTCAGTTGGAAAATTCATTAACAAATGGAAGGTGGTTATCACCGGTCCTTTGATTGGTTGTCATTAGCCTAAAAGTTGAAGAGCTGTGAGATGTCTTCTAGGTTAATTTACTAGGTATAAATCTAGTCCCTAAGAGAGACAGAGGTATTCAAGGGGTTGTTTTGTGAAGTCATGTTACGTAGAAAGCCGCTTTCACAAATCGCCTATTTAGAACAAAACTTTTAAGACTTGGCTTGCCTGCTATTTTCTTCAAATCATGCCAGTTATCAGTGATACCCGCATAAAGTTAACAGTTGCAGTGTTAAAGGTCTGAAATGACTCCCATGGGAAAGCGTCCTCATTGTGGGGATGCACATTAAATCAGATTCTTTCCCTGTGCAATTTAACGGGAGTAGCTGAAAAACTTAGAGACCATCTCAACAAGCAGAGCAGCATGGAAATGTTCTGCTACGGAGCTTTGTTTCCCTAAACTAATGTTTTCTTAGATTTCTTTCCATTCTTTTGAAGTCTGATGAATAGAAAGAATATCATGCAGAAAAAATTTTGTTAAAAAACTCTGTTAAATAAAATCCTTAGAAAAGTTCTGTTGTTCTAATCATTCAAACCTGTGGCCTCCAGAACAGCGAAAATAAATAAATGGGACCTGATTAAATTAAAAAGCTTCTGCACAGCCAAAGAAACTGTCAAGAGAGCAAACAGACAACATACAGAATGGGAGAAAATATTCGCATGCTACACATCTGTTAAAGGGCTGATAACTAGAATCTATTTAGAACTCAGGAAAATCAGCAAGAAAAAAATCAAACAACCCCATCAAAAAGTGGGCAAAGGACATGAACAGAAATTTTTCAAAAGAAGACAGAATAATGGCAAACAAACATATGAAAAAATGCTCAACATCTCTAATCATCAGGGAAATGCAGATCAAAACCACAATGAGATATCACTTATCTCCAGTAAGAATGGCCTTAATCAAAAAGTCCCCAAACAATAAATGCTGGCGTGGATGTGGAGAGAGAGGAACACTCCCACACTGCTGGTGGGTCTACAAACTAGTTCAACCTCTGTGGAAAGCAATATGGAGATACCTTAAAGAGATACAAGTAGATCTACCATTTGATCCAGCAATTCCATTACCAGACATCTGCCCAAAAGATCCAATGACACTCTACAAAAAAGACACCTGCACTGGAATGTTTATAGCAGCACAATTCACAATTGCAAGTTGTGGAAACAACCCAAGTGCTCATCAATACATGAGTGGATTAATATAATGAGGAATATGTATACCATGGAATACTATTCAGCTATAAGAAACAATGGAGATATAGCACCTCTTGTATTTCCTGGATAGAGCTGGAACCCATTCTACTAAATGAAGTATCTCAAGAATGGAAAAACAGGCACCACATGTACTCACCAGAAAACTGGTATTAACGGATCAACACCTAAGTGGACATATAGGAATAACATTTATAGGGTGTCGGGCAGGTGGGAGAGGAGAGGAGGGGATGGGTACATACAAACAGAACGAGTAAGATGTGCAACGTTTAGGGGATGGACACGCTTGAAGCTCTGACTCAAGGGGGGAGGGGGGCAGGGGCAATATACGTAACTTTAATATTTGTAACCCCAAAATATGCTGAAATTAAATAAATAAATAAATAAATAAAAAGTATGGCACTCAATGCCTGGCACACAACTCAATATTTTCTTCACTGACATCACCACCATCACCATAATCAACAGCAACATCTTCACTATTATCATCATCATCATCATCTTATCAGTACCCAGGATAATGCCTGGTTTATCACAGGCTTTCATACATATCAAATTGATTTGCATTCCTAAAAAACATAATAATTGTTTCTTTAACCCAAAATGTGTGCATACATCTTATAACAATTATAAATATCTATGTATAGGTTCAGTGTCAAGGAGTTATTTTGCATATCATTGTATTTTATTTAAAGAAAATGAAAAAAATGTCATGTTAACTATTTAGATTAGCTAAAAGGAAAAAAATCAGAGCTACCACTAGAGGGAGCTTTCGTTCCAAAGATTGGTAACAATAAAGCTGCCATTCCTGCAGAATTTTTTAGTTTGCTCATTGAATCCTCAGTTTCTGGAAGGGTCATTCATAGGAAAGAGAAGAAAAAGAGAGACTTCCTTGAAACGAGCTGGAAAATTTTCAAGAAGTGAAAATATTTTCAGGACTTTAAAAAGAAGTTTAATCTTCCCACACCCCAAGAATAGGAGTGAAGGTCCAGCAGTCCTTTTGTCTCTGGGGGACAAGTCAGTTACCTGTGTCTTTGCTCCGGTGCTATATAGGCCGGCAGTCCTTCCCATGGCAGCAGCACTTGGTATGCAGAAGAAAAACGAAGAAATCACATTGCTGAGGCCATGGGCCAAAAATTCCTGCAAGATTTGTAATAGGAGAATATGTGATTTCTTAATCACAATCGACTTTTAGAAACCATAGGTACCATTTGTCAAATAATTAGGCTTGTTTATAGTCAGTATCTGTTCTCCCCACCAGTTGAGATTTAGCAATTATAATAAAAATAGCTAAACTCACTGAGTGCTTACAGTGAGCCAGAAACTGTTCTAAACACTTTATGTATTTAATCCTCATAACAACCTTACAGGGAAATACTATTTATTTATGCTCTCTGTTGTCAATTTCTCCTCCATCTTGCAAGTCATTAAAATCAGGCTTTTATTCCCACCACTCAGCCGATGGCCTCCACAATGTTAAATACGACGGTTTGTTCTTACCTGACTTGACCTAATAGAGGCATTTGACACAGTTGCTCGCTTCTCCCTCCTTAAAGCCTCCTTCACTTGGCTTCTGGAACTTCACACCCCACCCCACCCCAGATTCTTCCTACCTCCCTGGCTACCACCTCTCAGTTTTCTTTGTGGTTCCTTCTCGTCTAACTAACTGCAAACATTGGGCCACTTCTCTTCTCTATCTACATCTTAACTACTCAAATCCACATTGACAACTCCCAAATTTGTGCCTCCAGCTTCAAAAACTCTTCTGAACTTCAGACTACATAGCCAACCTGCTACTCAGCATCTGCCTTTGGGTGGCTAACAGGTGTGTCAAACTTACTAAGCACCGACAAATACCCCTGACTTCCTAGAACTTTTTGGTGAGGTAATGCTGGCAATAAACTAGATAAATATGGGGAGTAAAGCAGAGGAGGGCATGAGAGTATCTGGAGTTTAAGATTTTTGATTACCAATGAAAGCCCCTGAGAAAAGAGCACTCGAATAAAGAACCTAAGCAGATATCTAGTGGAATAAAATTCCTGACAAAAGGAACAAGCAAGTGCAAATGTCCTGAGCCAGAAGCATGTCTAGTGGGTTCAAGGACAAGCAAGGTGGTGTGGCTAGAACAGAGTATATAAAAGGGCTACAAGAGAGGAAGAGGGACAGTGAGCTGTCATGCAGAGAAGCCATGATAAAGAGGTTTTTGAGGAGTCTGATGGGAAGCCACTGGGAGGTTTTGAGTGGAGGAAAGATACGATCTGTTTTGTTCACTGTTGTATCCCTTGTCCCTAGACCAGTGCCTGGAACATAGGGTTCAATACACATCTGTGGAATGAAGAAATCTACTTCTTTACAGATGAGAAAACTGGGACACAGAGAGGATTCAGGTCACATAGTATCAGAATGAGGTTTGCACAAAGGCAGTCTGGCATTCATATCCACCACACTGCAGCTTCCCCGCAAACCAGCACAGCTTGTAGGGCTCCCACAAGGTTTAACACAAGACACTGGCAGAAGTATATTCAGAAATATGATCAGAATGATATGTATTATTTGGTATTCTAAGAATAGATTGTCATATCCTTTAGTCTTTTAATAAGAGTAATACTAGTGTTCCTTGTACTTTGAAACCCATAATTTTTAAGTTAGGGCTGGGTGCAATAGCTCACACTTATAATCCTAGCACTTTAGGAAGCCAAGGTGGGAGGATTGCTTCAGGCCGAGAGCTTGAGACCACTCTGGTCAACAAGAGAGAGCATGTCTCTACAAAATATTTAAAAATTAACAGAGCATGGTGGTGCACACCTATAATCCTAGCACTTTGGGAAGCTAAGGCGGGAGGATCACTTGAAACCAGAAGTTCGAGACCAGTCTGGGCAAAATAGTGAGACTCTGTTTCTACAAAAAACAGAAAAATTAGCTTGTCGTAATGGTGTACACCTGTAGTCCCAGCTACTCAGGAGGCTGAGGCAGGAGGATCGCTCGAGCCCAGGGGTTTGAGGTTGCAGTAAGCTGTGATGATGTCACTGAACTCTAGCCTGGGCAAAAGACCAAGACCCTGCCCTAACCCTCCCCCCAAAAGTTATCATGCAATGAAAAATATATTTGGATTTTCGCCTAAAAATAAGTCAACAAGAACACCAAGGTGTCCTTCTTTCTTATAAACCATAAAGGCCAGGTTTTCAGCTTTCTATGAATGATTTAGAGACTTTTCTTTCGTTCTACCCATTCTTGCTATACACTTAGGAAAGTTTTCTTTTTCATCAATTCAACATTTTCAGGATCTGGGAGTGAGTGCAATGATATAACAAGTACAATGATATAACAAGAGTAGAGAGGAACTAAGGGCATACTCCACCTGGTTGTCATCAACTGAATATTTGAATTTTTTAGCAGATCCTTGAGCAAGAGCCAGTGAGGCCGCATAGCCTACAAGTGCCACTCCAAACGCCTCAGTGATCACCGCAGAGAGGATGTCCATCCGGGGCGCTCTAGGTGGAGGAATTCTGCAAAAAAGAAAGACCATATTGAAGTCATCAACCTTTGCGTAATTTCTGTAACAACTTGCAATGAACTCAACTGTGGTAATGACTCTGAAGTTTACATAGAATAAGTGAAATGCTCATGAGAAAACCAAGCAGCCTTGCCCTTAGAAGCCCTTTGTTTTCAACATTATTTAGCAGAAAAGCAAAATTGCAAGGAACACCACAGGGACAGCTGCAAGCATCCAACTGGCATTTATGCCCAGGGAATTCAGATTACACCACAGAAACTCTGACTCAACAAATATTTCCTGTATCAGAAACAAAAGCAAATCTGGAGTGTTCTTTCATTCGAACCTTTCCAAATGTTTATTTGGCTGGCGTTAGAGACTATATTTCCCCCATTGAATACTACATTGCTGTATGCAAACACTAGTTTACTGTGAGCTACAATTCTTGATCCAATCTCTAAATTTGCCAGGGAGTTCATTATCTTAATTACGTTTTTAACTCAATCCTTTCACAGTACACTTAACTCTGCCATATATATATTAAGAAAAATATGTCTAAAGATTCCATCTACCCTCTATTGAGAAATAGAGGACCACAGTTAGCTATTTTTCCATTTCAAAGAACTGTTTAAAATATTTCTCTCACATAATGCCCAGCCATTGTCTAGTTGTCTTTTGAAAACCACTTGAGCCGAAGTATCATTGTTTATTTATCCCTGATGATTCTTTGGGAAATTTACCAAATATATATATGTATATATGTACATCCCTTGGGCAAAAATAGAAGAAAATGGGATGAGAATTCATGTTGATTTAATACCTAGTATGTAAGTAGAATGCTCTGTCCTTTCATATTAGCTATTTCATTTAATTCTTGCAACAACCCCAAACTAAGCACCATTATATCCACTGTATGGAGGAGGAAACATTTTGAGAAAGGTTAGGTAACTTGGATTCAATTTCAGCTCCATCTCTTGTCAAAGCCATGCTCTTTTTATAATTCCTTTAAGAGGATGGGTCTAGAAAGTTCTCTTAAAATAAAAGAGAATTAGAGGGGATGGAGGAGAAATATGACATTTTTTACCCACTTACTAAAGTTTATCCCCAAGACAAATTGGTTTGTATCATTACAGGCCATAAGATAGATGCTATAAACAACTGCTACCATTTCAAAGTATAAGAACTTTTATTTCATGAAAATTGAGTATGCTTAATTATTCATAACAACAAATGACCTAGAAAGGAAATAAGGCAATATACATAACCTTAACATTTGTACCCCCATAATATGCTGAAATAAAAATAAATAAATAAATAAATAAAAATAAAAAATAAAAGGAAATAAGGTAACCTCCTTCTTCCCTAACATACCTTCATTTTCTTTCAGCCTATATTTGGAACAACATTTTGCCCTTTTAAGGTGAACACTTTCTCTTTTGTTAAACTCTTTCTTAGTATTCAGAGGCAAAGCAGAGAACCACGCCTCCTTCTCCACTTCCACCCTCTCTCTTGCTATTTATCCACTACCCATGCCTATGGGTATGCTGTTTCAAATGATGCTTGTCTACCTTTACTATGATTGCAGTGAAATAAAAATAGTCATAAAAATGTGTGGTGGGGAGGAGAATAGGGCAGACTGAATCCCAGAGCACAATTCTAATTTGCAAAGTCAATGTCTTCCACTTTTTAAAAAATAATAGCTTTTTAAATATTTTCCAAATCCTTTACCTGAAACAATAGTATATAAAACAATTACCAACTTCTTTAGTAATAGGTGAATAGTATGAGAAGCTACTCTTTCTCTATACATAAAGTATTTGTTTCTATCATTTTATAGTAGAAATTTATTAGAATTTTGTCCTATACAGGGACAAAAAGAAATAAAATCCATACCCTCCCACTCCCAGTCCCTTTCTCCATCAAAAACAAACAAACAAACAATATTAACAAAAAAGACTACATTACCCTTTTGGAATATGACCAACTACTTCTAATCCATAGGTGTTTTCCATGTTGGTACAATAACAAGCAAATGATGCAGCAATAATCTGTGTGGTTCCATTTGAAAAAAGAAAACAATATTACTGGCATGTCAAAAACCTTAAAACCACTTTTTAAAAGTAAACATTGTTCTTGTATCCCATAATTACCAAGGGTAATGTAGCAGTTGCATAGATTTTTAAAAATTAATAAAATATTAAAAATCAAGTACCTTTGAGTTTTGAGAGCACTTAATGTACAGTCTCAAAATTAGATGATATTCCAATAATATGGCTTTTCTAATATCCTACCCTGTGTCAACCCAATTATGTCTAATTTTGAAGGAAAGCAAAATACAGATTATATGTATATGGAGGTGTATGCGTGTATGTGTTTGTGTGTCTGTGTGTGTGAAGACAACACAATCCAACCTAAATGCTTGTCTGTTATGACACAAAGGGATGCTTTATAAAGACAGTACATTTTCCCTCCATGACAGCAGCCACTCGAGAGTTTGAGATATTGCATCAATATTCCTACTCTGTTAATTATCAATGATAGTTTACAAAATCCTTGAAATTTTTTGAATTTTGAGCTTTTACTATTTCTTGAAGTAAAACATGTTACTACACAGCTTCTTGGGCTCAATGCTTCCAAAATGACCACTGTGAAGTCTCCGATACCCCATTCTTCTGTTACTTACCTATGCTAAGCAGCATCTCGAGTTCCCCAACTGTACCAATAATCATCTTTAAATGCATGTCAGAACCCAGTTCACACCTTGTTTTACCAACCATTCCACCATAATGTTTTCCATCAATTTTCATTCTTCTGATAATTTCAATAGATACTAGAAATTTCACATGGCTATGGTATTAGTTTGAAATGGTTTATCTTGTTAAAAGAGACACACCAATTATCTACTTAACGTGCAAATTTACCATGTCCATGGGCAGGAAAAAGGTAAAAAAAACTCACAAATAAGGAATATCTAATAATTAATGCCCAATAATATAATTTTGTAGAGTTTTTTTTTCCTATCTGTGTTTTTCTGTTCTCTGTGATATTTAACTAAATTTGCAGAGGTTTTTAAAACATCAAATGGGCTTAAAAAGAAAAGCACCACTGAGGATTTTAAAAAAGGGAAAAAGCAATAAAATTACACAGGTTATACTGTTGAATTTTATAAACATTGTGATATAATAGCAGTTATCTTCCAAAGAAGTTAGTAGTAGTTAAAGATTCAGGCTATTAGGTTAGAAGCAGAAGTATTAGCATATTTAAAAATTCCCAAACCAATTCATAAGTTTCATCTGCTCATAATCCTCATGAGACATCTATACCAGGTCAGAAAATATTGTGAGCTGTAAAGGAAATATACCATAGCTACGCCTTTATTGAAAATGGAAGAATACATGATGTTTAATAACACATAGTCAAAATTAAGTAACCTAAGTCATTGAATTAGTCTTTCAGACAGTGTCTTACTTGCTTTCTGAATTTCTTTAACATAATTAAACTTCCATTATCAATCAAGTTATTGGTCCTTCTTCAATATTATTTCAATATTATATACATGTATAAAGCCAGCACTGCCCTGAGACATGGCAAGAGGGGCCCATGCTTTAGGTGGCCCAGTGCTTTAGAGGGTTCCACTCTGGCCCTCTGCCCACTGCAGCCTTTCCCATAAGAAGAGAGCTTTGTGGGAGTAGGAGGGATGTGCCCATCTCAAACTTGCATCCCTCTTTCCGAACCATATTCTAGATACTCAGGAATCTATAATATCATTTCCTGCCCAAATGGCCCCACGCCTGCCTGCAGGGCGTCGTCCCTAGGTCCATCCTCTCGGGGTGGTTGGAGGAAGGCCAAGGGACAGTTGTGGTGGTGTGGAGTGGGAATGTGTTTGGAGTTTGGCCACTGGGGCAGGGGTATCCACACATACACACGTGAATCCAATTGTGGGTGGGATAGAGCTGGAGGAGGAAGAGAAGGAGTAGGCCAAGAGGCTGGCTTTCCCCACATGGCCCCGTTCTGGCAGAACCCAAAGGACCAGGAGAATTCTCTGTTCTAACCTGGATTTCAAGGCCATCACTAATGTACATTAGTTAAGGCAGGAAAACAAAACCTGTTGCATTTACTATATTGATCTATGGGCTTGCACTGATACATTTGCCTTAAGTCTTACAAATGTTAGGGGCCAACATTGTAAGTAATATCTTTTATTTTTTTATAAGAATAATTCTTACTAGTTTCACAGAGAATAAGCAACTGTTTCATTACTATCTCAAGGGACTTCCTCTCTAAGGTTATTTTCAATTTTTGGTTTTGTAAAATTTATGCAATATAGTATCCAAGATATAATAAATATTTCTTTAATATCAATGCAACTTTGAAATATGATGATATGTTTTATAGTGGTTGCTGTGAAAACTAATAATCATAGTACTCTGTACTGTTATGGCATATCTGAAATATACACACACATACATATCATATATCACATGTTATATATAACTCAACAAATCACATGTTATATACAACTCAACAAATCCTGTCTATGGAGAGAGGGCTTCCATCTTAGTTGTATAGAAACAAGTCATATCCTACAGACAGTTTCCAATGCACTAGCCTTATAAATGTACATAAACCTACACTATTTCAGCAGCACAAAGGAATATTTCAATAAATGAAATTATTTAGGTACCATTTGTAGTATACATGTACAATCGAAAGATCATTAAAAAGCTTAAGCCAATTAATGATAAGTTAGTAGACCAGGGTTATGTTAACATTTAATTTTCAACTTAATGCTTTGTTTACTTAAGAGTTCCCATTAGAAGTTCCTAAAAATTTCAAAATGTATTTGTTTAATGCCATAAGCCTTAGGAACAAAGTATAATGTATTGTTTTTCCAGGTACAGTAAAATAACATTTTAGAGAACCAGCCCTGGCCAATGAAAATCATAAGCATCCTTTCAATAAAGCAAAATTAGGTCAGTAAAAAAAAGTATCAGCAAACCTACCAATCATTAATGGACATTTGTCAATTAATAGTATTTCTGTGCACACCATGCAGGTGCCATATCAAATGTAATACCACAAGGGAATGTGGTATTACATTTTATTGCTTACAGAAGATCATGCCAGAGATCCTTTGCATCTCACCTTCATAACTATCTCCTTATTTAAGAACTTAGGCATATGTTCTCTTATTTATATAAAAAATTATAAGCATATAAGAAATGCTGTATAAATTTAAAACATGTGTGCCTCCTTTTTTAATTTATTAACTCGAAATGTTTTCTGTTCTTATGTTAATATATAGCTATGCAAATTAGCCCTACTTTAATAAGAGACAGGAGTAGCTGTGGGTCACTATAGACAATATAGGAAGCATCTGCAGATTACTCCAACAATTGGCAAGCTTTGTACGGCAGAAAGCTAAATGTTGATTTCATACTTACCAAAACTAAATCAACAGGAAGAACAACTTTAATTTTCCTTTTAAACTGTTCATTCAGCTCTTTAACAAGAACAAGGACCACGATGCTCAGCAAGGATAAGAGCAATGCTTCCAGTCGGACAGACTTGATGTTTTCAAAGACATAAGCATAAATCTGCAGTAATGGGCAAAACACATAGAAAATTCAGGGTCACCCATGATCTACCAACACGAACATCTGACCCCAAATAAACTCAGTGATGTTTTGTAAAAATATCTTAATGGCTAGGGGTGAAAAGGTAGAAGTGGAAGGGTCGTCAGTGCTGATGTAGAACAAAGTTATGTATTCATATGCATGTACAAATTTGCCATCCCCTTGATTCTTCCATCAGACTCAGGGTTTGCACCTTCCTATGTAAGAATACTACTAAATGGAATGACCCTTCTGGCTCCTTCCCGACACGTCAAGAGGTAGAGATGCTATAACTCATTAGTTACACACAGTCTCATCATTAAGAGCAGTGAGAGGACCATAGGCTCCACACCTTTGGACCCCACCACTCTTTCTCAAACCCCAGAAGCAAACAAGCACACCATATAAGTTGCACACAAAGGACTTAAGAGCGGGTACTTAACGGACATCAGATATTTGGCTTGATGTAGAACATCGCCACGTTCTCAATCATTCAACATTTATTTATTTGTTTATTGCCACGTACTTTAGGCCAAACACTATGCCTTGTGCTAGGTCTATGATGATGAACAATTTAGATACAGCTTCGTATTCACAGAGCTCAGTCTACTGTAGGAATTTCTAATTAAAGCAGTAGATTACTGCAGTACACTGATACGGACATGAAAGGGGCTCCTGAAGTATGTGACCTAGAGGTATGAGTGGTCAGGAGCCCTTTCCGACCAAGATAAGTGAGAATTGACCAGGTTAGGGATGGTGGGGGAGGTGAACAGAAGGAATCTGGGGGAAATGTTCTGACTAAAGAGCACATTTGTAAAACTTAGAACGTAGCATGTGTGAAGAGGAATGTATGACTTCCTGAAAACTATGGTCAAAAAACCAATATAATTATTTGTCTTTATTTATTTTTGCCCACAGATTTTTTCATGTGTGAGTGACAAGGTAACCAACTTGTCCTAGTTTGCCTGGGACTGTCTAGTTTTTTTTTTTTTTTTTAATTCAGGATATCATGGGGTTACAAACATTTTAGTTACAGCCTGTCCCTCCCTCATACAGTGAGTTCTGCTTCCATTAGTTGTGGGTTACCCCACCACCTCACCTGCGACCAGCACCCAATAACTATTGCTACCATGTGAACACCTTAGTGGTCAGTTAGTACGGTTATTTGTCTTTAAAGTTAGCAGGCCTCTTTGAAATTATGCCAACATCAAAGAATTTGCTTGAAACTAGGAATAAGATTTAATTCATTAATATTGAATACTTAATCTTGGTAACTTGGGATAATCTGACCTGGCATAGAATGCAAGAGTAATGTCAAGGGAAAGGATAACATTCAAGCCCTTTCTAAAATTGAGAGCATATGTTTTTTCAACTAAAGCCAACAGCATTTTGCTCAACATCTTACAATTTTGTTAATAATTATACAAGCATCTGATATACTAGAATAAAAAAGATAGGGTGAGATTTTAAAGAACTCTAAAGTAGTGCGAAAGGGGAATGATAATAACTAGCCTAAATCCAATCCTTGCTGCACATGAACATTTGATATAAAGAAACCCAACTAGAATTTGGTCTGGAAAACTAACACAATGGTTCTCAAATTCATATAGAATATTAAATGTGCTGAATATATAAAATATTTTGAAAGAGAAAAACAATTATAGCTTTATTCTGCCAAATATAAATATACATGTATAATAAGTTAAAACATAATGCTAGTATTGAAATATATAAGAAAAAATTTAAAACAATGAAAACCCAGAAGCACATAACAATTGCATCATAGAAAACATTATCCAATATACCATATATGAAGAAAATGAAGCAAATAAAATAAATTCTAGATTTTAATAAGACTTAAATATAAAACCTGAAGTCATAGAAAATGAAGACATTATTTTAAAATTAGGCAGAAAGCACAAATAGACAATTAATAAAAGAAATAAAAATGTTCAATAAACATGAACAAAGAGCTCAACCATACTAGTAATCAAAGAAATGTAAATTCAGACAATAAAAAAGTATTTTCTTCTTTTAGCAAATTATTCATGATTTTTAAATGATAATTAATCATTTAAACAGTGAACTTTGGGGCAGAAATGGGAACTGTTTTGCATGCCCTTGTGAGTATAAATTGGTATAATTTTTTGGTGATCAGATGAAACATCAAAAACCTTTGAAGTTGATGGATATGTTAATTAGCTTGGTTGTAGTCATCATTTCAAAGTACATACATATATCAAAACATCACATTGTGTACCTTGAATATACATAATTTTTATTTGTCAATTATATTTAAATAAAGCTGAAAAAATAAAATAAAAAAAACCTTTGGAATGTTCTATTCTTTACCTCAGCAGTTCTACTTGAAGACATTAAGCCAATAAACATAATTAGCCTCATGTAAAAAGACCTGTTACAAAGATATTCACTGAAGCATTTTTTAAAATAGCACAAAATAAATTGAAACCATTTAAATAGTAAAACAAAAGCAAACTGGCTGAATTCACAAGGTCATATGTACGCATATAATAGTCTACATCCATTAAACACATTATTTTAGACAAAACGTATACTTATTGACATGGAAAGACCTTTCTTTATGTTATGCCACTAACTGGGAAAAGCAAATTTCAAATAAATATGTATAGTTTGATACTGCTATCAGCTGAATTGTCCCCCCTCCCCCTAATTCATATGTTGAAGTCCTAACACCTAGTACCTCAGAAAGTGACTATATTTGGAGAAGGGCTTTTAAAGGGGGCAAGAAGGTGAAATGAGGTCATATAAGTGGGCTCTAATCCAATAGGACTAGTGTCCTTACAAGAAAAGATTAGAAGACAGGCATGCACCATGCACAAAGGAAAAACCACACGAGGACACATCAAGAAGGCAGCCCTCTGCAAGCCGAGGAGAGAGGCCTCAGAAGAAACCAAAACTGTCAACATCTTAATTATGTACTTCTAGCCTCAAGAACTGTGAGAAATAAATTTGTGTCACTTAAGCCACCCAGTCTGCAGTATTTGTTATGATAAGCTTAGCAAACTAATACAGATATTTTTTATGAAAAAAAATTCATAGTTTAAATATCTATAGATATATCTGGAATGTTAATAGCTCTGCATAAGACATTTGTATTTATATTATCTTCTATGTTATCTTATGAACATATATCACTTAAATTGTTTTAATGGTTCCAAATAGGCCTTGAATGCTTATCTTCAATATGTCTCTTAACTTTTCCTTCTGTTGGACATGCTGAATTGGTTTTTATAGCTTCATTTTTATTTTCCATAGCAGATTTGTCAAGCCTAGTTTCAGAAAATAAAGACTAGTTTTTATTTCAGCACACAGGTTATTCTTATAGTAGCCCAACTTGTTGGTGTTCTTTGTCCCCTCTATTTAGCATATCAAATATAATTTGACGACAAGCAAAAATATTGGGTCAAAATATATTATAGCTATGGGTCAAAAGAACTTATACGGACTTAGCATCTCTTAGAATTCTGCTTAGTTGGTATCCTCATATGGAATGTACCTGGTGGTAAAGGAGATGCATCAGGCGACCCAGGGCGGGATCCTGTGTGTTGGATGTTATTATTAACATTCTGACCCTTTCAAACAATGAAAATGTACTCAGTTAAAAGTGGAGCCTCACAGGATGAAAGGAATAAGGGTCATGCAAGTTATCCAGAAACCCTTTTGTCCACACAGTTAACACAACGACAAAACACTAGTTGTATAATCGGCCACATTAAGAAATAAATTAGGGGTCAGATAGCTTTACCTATTATCTCTTTCACAGTATTTTATTTTATTCTTTACTACTTGGAAAGAAAATTAGGTACTACAATATCATAATTATCTGAGATACAGATATTTTTCCTCTCTGTTGCTCTATATTGTGGGTGATAATTATTCGCAGGATTCCTACAGCAAGTCAAGGAACAGGGTCCATTTCTCAAAGTTACCCACTACCCAAAGCCCTAGTTAAAAATTCAAAATGCTATTCAGTGAAATATATTCTACAGGAGATGGGTATAGAGGAGATGTCAAAAAAATTTTGTCAAAATTTTTTTCTGATGGTTTATAATGATCACAGGATAAAATTGATACTATTACTCACAATGATTTGTCAGGAAAAAAATTAGCATCTAAATGTTATAAAGCATTTAAATAAGAATTCTTTCTGCTTTTTTTCCCATGGTATTAACAGTATGCCATGAAAGTGCCTATATAAGAAAGGGGAGAAATATACAAAACTACCAAGCCATATAAAATTTGCTGTAGTGTGCATTTCAAGAACATGTGTTTGCAGTAATAAAAATGACCACCCCAGAATGAAAGGAACGAGAAAAAAACCCAGGGCTTTTATTGTCTGTCTGGATTAAACTACAATTCATCAAGCAGAGCACATCTCACAAGATGCTCCAACCGAACGTGGGGGTGGGCAGAAGCTCATTACAACCAGCATGAGGAACACAATAGAAAAAGAGGCTGGTGAGGAGTGTCATTCTAATGAATGTCATTTGGACCCACAGAGAAAAATCATAAGCTAAAGCCAGCCCATAGTACATGGGTGGCACATAGGAGCTGGTAGAGATAGGGACAGGGCTAAGGATAGACACACATGCACACACACACACACACACACACACACATTTACATATGCTCATTTAATAGAGTTCTAGGCATGGTAAGCACACCTTAAATTTCTCATTTCTAGAATAAATCCAGTCATCTGAGTATGCTATCATGCACTAAGCTCCATAGATAACAATTCCTTTTGAGGGTCATCATTTGCTTCCCAGATCTCAGAGAAGCAAAGATAATGTTTATACCTGTATGGATAAATAAATAAGCTATTTCATCAGAACTGACCAATCTGTTTAATAAAAGAAGAGTTCAGCTCACTGTGCGATTATATTAGTTCTTTAAATTGACCATTTATCACAACTTGACATAAAAAGGCAAGTATCAGT